AAACACATCTATCTTTGTTCGGGCCGTCTTCATGAATGGCCTCCCAAGAAGAATCGGCAAGGGTGGAGCATGGGTGGTTTCCTCCATTTCAAGGACATAGAAATCCGCTGGGAAGATCAAATTATTCACCTGTACTAAGACATCTTCCAATACGCCCTTTGGATAGGCATTAGATCTATCGGCCAACTGAATAATCACACCATCATTTTTCAATTCACCAAGGTTCATTGAAGCATAAATAGAGTATGGCATGACGTTAATTGAAGCACCTAGATCTAACATGCATTGTTCAAACTTAGTATTACCAATAACGCACGGAATTGTAAAACTACCCGGATCTTTGCATTTAGGGGGTAATTTCCTTTGTAACACAGCAGAGACATTTTCACTTACTTGAACCACCTCTTTGTTCGAGATCCTTTTCCTTGTTGTACAAAGTTCTTTTAAAAACTTAGCATACCTCGGAACTTGCTTAATCGCATCAAGGAGCGGGATATTAACTTGAACTTTCCGAAAGGTCTCTAGAATGTCCTTCTCGGCTTCTTCCTTCTTTGATTGCCTAAACCTGCCAGGAAAGGGCACGTTTAGTGGAATAGAACTAGAAAAAGTCGAATTGGTACTTACCTTGGTGGTTTGGGATGGTTTAGGAGGTCTAGATGAATTTGGCAAGGTTTGGTCATCCTTGGCCGTGGGCTTTGCTCCCTGTGCTTCTTCTTGCAACAACTTATCCTCCTCGTCTTGACTTGATTTTGGTGGTTGTGAGGTGGTTCCAACTTCCTTGCCACTTCTTAAGGTGATTGCATTGGCGGTTTCAAAGCCACCCTTTGGATTGACAATTGTTGAGCTTGGAAGCTTGCCTTGATCTCGGAATTGTCGCACAAACTCCGCAATCTGCCCTATTTGTTTCTCTAATTGGTCCACCCTTTGGTCTTGGTTTTGCATCGCCTTGTTTTGATTTTCTTGTCCCTGAGACAGACTAGTAAGTAACTTAAGAACTGTAGCATTATCTAAAGACGTACCTTGATGGTTTTGGCTGGATTGTGGTTGGTTTTGGTCTTGGCTGTGGGTTCTGGTGTAAAACCCCGGGGGTTGTTGTCTAAAGCCTCCTTGTTGTTGAGGTTGTTGGGGCTCCCTCCACTTGAAGTTTGGATGGTCTCTCCAACCCGGATTGTATGTGTTGGAATATGGATCATTCCTTGGTTGATTGTGGCTTGGAAATCCAATGGCATTTGCACTCTCCCATCCCCCATTCTCAATCAATTGTGGGCACGTGTCTGTAGGGTGTCCTTGCATGGAACATACGCCACAATGAGCTACGGTTTTGACTTTTGGACCTTCCACCACCTGAGAAAGCAACGTAGTAAGGTTAGCCATTTGATTTTGAAGTTCGGTTATGGCACTTACCTCGTTGACTTGTTGCCGTGGGGGGTCTCTTTGTCCAACACCTTCGTATTGTTGTGCATTATGTGCTCGGTTGGCAATTAGAACTTTTGCAGCCCACGGAGTTTTATCCACCAACGCACCTCCCGCCGAGGCATCAAGCATTTGGCGTTCCATTGGAAGGAGTCCTTCGTAGAAGTATTGAATGAGCAGCTCCTCCTTCATTTGATGCTGTGGACAAGAAGCAACAAGTGATTTAAAACGTTCATAATAAGACGGAAACGATTCACCTTGATTTTGTTGGATACCACTAATCCGTTTCCTCAAGAGAATGATTCTTGAAGTTGGGAAAAACTTCTCCAAGAAAGCTCTTTTCATACTATCCCAAGATGTAACCGTTCCGGGTGCTAATTCGAAAAGCCAATCCTTCGCTTTTTCCAAAAGTGAGAATGGAAAAGCCTTCATCATCAGAATGTTCCCGTCGACATTTATGGGTGTCATGCTCGAACAAACAACCTCGAACTCCTTGAGATGCTTGTTGGGATCTTCCATGGAAAGCCCATGGTATTTCGGAATGTGGTGCAACAAGCTTGACTTCAACTCGAATTCATCGGTCTTGCCTTGGGCAGCCACGGGGTATTGAATGCATAATGGTGCGGCATTGGCCAATCCCGAAGCGGAAAGCTCCTTGATTGTTCGGTTGTCTGCTGCCATGTCTTCTTCACCCACTGTTGTCTTGGGTTCTTCTTCAGATTCAGAAACGAACTCGGAGCTTTCACTTGATTCGCTAGGTTCTGAGTTCTTTCTCTTTCATCTCAATTCTCGCTCGAAATCAGCGTTAAAGCTCGAGATATGTTCACGAATCGGATGAGAACTTCGAGTCATAAACTAGTACCTAAAACAAGAAACAAAACAAGATTAAGAATCTGGGATAATATAAAAACAAAAGAAAATAAAACAATCCAAGAGATTAGCAAAGTTGCTAATCCCCGGCAACGGCGCCAAAATTTGATGCGAAGATTTTACGCACACAAATTAAACCCTCTTTTTGACAATTGTAGTATAAGTATAAGTAGGAATCGTTCTGGACCGGGGATTAGGAGGGATTGTCAATCACTTGGACTTGACTTCAAAAACGTAAAAAAAAGTTTAAAACACTATTTAATGCGAAGAATGCAAAACTAAAAATAAGAAAGATTAAGACTAAGACTTAAACAAAATATGGAGGGGGGATTTAGGTTTGGACGAAATTAAACTAAAATGGATAGATTGCAAAGAAAACAAATTGTAAATACGGATTTGACGGAAATGAATGGATGGGAAGCTAGCTAAGGGGTTCATCTCCACACATGTTACACTTGCATACAAAACGATTTCTAATTGCTTTTCAATAAGCCATGAATTCTCAACGCCCCGGGTTAATTAGGTCCGCTTAAATTAACCGTCAAATTTTCCTTAAGTTAATGAATTGGATGATTGCATACGACAACCCAAAACATTCCTCACAAGTTCCCTACATGAATTGCATACTAGAGATACAAGCAAGAATCATTAAGCAACATGAAAACTATAAGTGTTGACGAGGCATTCGTTACTATGCTTGCATGAAACTTATGCCAAGAATTTGTTTAACGCGATTGTTTATAAGCAACCTCCACTACTTGTGAATATAAGTTCATAACTATTACGTGAAACTCACTTATATTCTAGCGTCAAATTCATGCGTGAAAATTAAGCGTGCACTCTCAATAAACATACATAAATAGGTTATCAATCAAACAGTTAAACAAATTGAATTCACAACTTATGAAACGTAATTAGAAGTAATCAAAACATATTGCAAGCATAAACATGTATTTCAAATCCCCCCCTAGCCAAGGGGGGTTTAGTTCCTCATACGTACAAGACAAAGAAAATTGAAATTAAACATTGCAATCGAGGAAAAGCAACACCTAAAAATTCCAACAACTCAAACTTGAATTGTATGAACGTTTAGGCACTCTTCTCCTCCTCTTCGTTGTGGCACAAGGTCTAAGGATATGTTGATGGTTGGATAGTGTTTTAGAGGGATGGGAAGTGATGGAAATGGAAGTGAAGATGCAGGAAATGGAAGTGGGACTCACGGCTAGGGAAGAATGGATGTGTTTGTGGTGTGTTGTGTATGAAAAATGGAGAGTGAATTAGATGTGTTTAGGTAATGGGAATGCAAGGGTTTTTATAGGAAGAATGAAGGTGTAAATGGCTGTTTGTTTAAGCATGCAAGTGGCTAGTTAATGATGGAAAAACAGCTAGGAAAACATGTGAAAGCTGGAATTGCATGTGAAGGTGTGTGTATGTGCTGGAATGGTGTGTGAAGGCACGGCAAAGGAAGTGTTTCTTGCTGATTTTCTGGCTACATGATGAAAGGTTAATGAATAATGCATGTAGGTGGCTGCAATGATGAAAAATGAGAGCTGGAAATAAAAGGGAAAGCTGGAAAGCATGTGAAGATGCTGGAATTGCATTGAAAGCCCATGGCAAGGAGATTGGATGAGCTGGAAATGCATGTGAATGCTGGAATTGGGAGTGAAAGGCACGGCATTGATTTGGGAATGAATGATTAAATGTGCATGGCTGGAATGATGAAGAATAAAGGGTGCATGTGAGTTGGAAATGATGAAGGAAATGCATGTGAAGTGTTTGGAAATGCACGGCATAGTGTAGTTTTTGGTGCATGTGGCTGCAATGTTGTGCAATGATGGAGGAATAAGTGCATGTGGTTGAATTGGTGGTGAATGTGCATGGCAAAGAATAGATTTGGCTGCAATGGTGTGTAATTGGGCTAGGGTTTAAGTGCATGAAATGGACCCAAATTGCTCCCCCTTGCATGGCAAGGAATGGTGTTTGTGTTAAGCCCACGGCAATGTGAATGTAATTGGGTTAGGGCCATTATTTTGTGTCCTCAAGTGCATACAAGACCTTCAATTTCATCCAACACTTGGGCTCCAAGCATAAGCTATCCATCCTTAGCCCAATAGTGGTCTAAAAGGCCCCAAAACACTCCACAATGCATCCTTTCGTCAAACACGTCTTATGATCCTGAAAACACACAAAAGAAGCATAAAGGACTAAAATAACTAAAGAAACATAACGTAAATGTACGAGAACAAGCCATTTAAGTCGCATGAATATGCTCCTATCAAATACAAACAACAAATTTTCTTGCCAACGAAAGAAACATACATGATTCAAGAGTAGCATCGTTCCAAACATCAATATAACAAAGTGTTCTCCCAACAATCGACAAGGTTTAGGATGCTTTTATTAATTATTCACTTTTCGTTTAAAGTTGTAGATTAAAGTTAAAGGTGTTGGTTTATACTTGTATTTGAGTAGAACAAAAATCTATGTCTAATAAGTTCAGTTTTTTACTCAATTGTGAAATAATTACTTGGAATTGCTCTTGTTTGTATAAGCCAATTTCAGTCCATACCATGACAATTGCATTCAATCCCAAGACTACAATGATGAGAGACACAATGACAAATGGATAGCTGCGCATTGATCATTGCTACATCTAGATTCCTAGCACGTAAATTGGCTTGCTTTAACTAGTTTGAAAACAATATGCAAAAGGAAGAGATCATGAACAATTTATGCATTCCATTTGTATATAAAACTAAGCAATTAAAATGTCTTCCCTCACAACGAAGCAAGTCAGCTAGTCAATTCCATGTGCACTAGTGCTAATCCAATGAAAGGAAAAACAAATGAGAGAAGGAAAGGTCACCAATTTAATCAAACTGTTGGATGTTCCAACTAGAAGAAATGAAAGATCCCAATACTACATTAACACAGTACACAGCAGGGCAAGGTAAACTGATTAATTGTACATTCTACAATTTTTTACAATAAACTCTGGAAAATAGCCAACTGCCTCAATCACTTGAGCTATATTTACTCAATTCAAGAACTGAAACAGAAGCGCAACAAAACGACTCTTTATCCTTTAGGAGGAGACAGCTTCCAACTCAATTCCAATTTAGATCAAGTATGCTAAATTGTGGTTAGGGCGGGATACTCACACTGTAGGCAACACCAGGAGTCCACATGTACAAACGAGAACTTCTTGTGCAAACAACAGGACGAGTGCACGTAGGATCCCAAACTGCTGCACGAATAAGATATTTCTACACCAAGATAGCAGCGAGTTCAAGATGGCGTATGTGACATGTCCCATATCCAAAGAAAGCTTGGCATGCTATCAGAACCATATCAACTACAATACATAGCTTTCCTAGTAACAAAAAGAATGTGAAACAGCAGTGCTGCAATTCATCAATTTTCTTTTCAAATAAAAATCTTCACGGTCTGAGTTACTCCACAAAATTGATCCCACAATACTTGACCATTGAAGACCCAGTGCCAAAACACATCAATTTCCTCCACATATGGAGACCAACATCACAACCCCAAACATTCCAACTTGGCTACATTCAAAAGAATTTTCAGATTCATTCATACAAGGAAAACAAATAAAGACCAAAAGTTTAACACAAGAAGCAGATTGATACCATAGATTTGTAATGTTTCCACATGACAAACCTGAACAAGTATGATTGCACAATACTCAAATAATTTATTTAAGGAGCTTCAATTGACCAGTGATATACTATGGTCCGAGTAACTTATTTAAGGACTTCAATTGGGGTTATCCACTTCCAGAAAGGTAAGGCGCTGGTGATGGATTACGGTCAAAATCAAACCATAGCCTCTTTCAAAAGTGACGACAAGGAAACTAAGTAGCAAAAACAAAGCAAAAAACACAAATCAAGCCAAGTAATTGACCAAAAGTTAATAAAATTAATCCAAATTAACATAATTTTATCAAACCCATTAACACAAACCTGATCAACAAGCTGGTGGGGCTAGAGAAGGTGGTCGGTGTTGGAGCTGCGGGTTAAGGCTTTGCTGCCCTTTTTAAAGCTACATCACAAGTTTGAAATTGAACAACAAAAAATATAGGAAATGAAATAAATTAACCTACATAACTCCTCTGTGGTATTGAATCAAGGATAGCAAGTGTGAGATCTTCCTTGGAGGTGGATCGGAGGACGGCTAGAGTTGGACGGACAACGGTAAGAGCGGGATCTTCCTCAGTTCGAAATTCTGGGTTCAGGGTGAGGAGTGAGGGAGAGAGTGGTGGTGGGTTGGTGGTGTGGTCTTGCTGGAGTTGGTGAGCTGTGGTGTGATGGTGGTTGTTGGTGCTCAAGAGAACAAAGAACAGAGAGAGATAAAAGCACGATAAGGACGGTGCATACGAAGACGGAACAGACGAGGTCTTAGCAATCCCATGGGTATCGGGGGTCTTGCTAAAAACTCTTAGCGAAGGTGTTTGTCTGTGCAAGTCCCTCTTACTTTCATTAAACATAATCCCAGTATAGAACAAACACTAGATTGGACTAATTGTTAGTTCAGTCTAGTTCAGTGACACTTAGTGAGGGCAAACAAACGCCCCCAAAAAATATGAGTATGGCTAGGTAACTTCAAACCATAAGCATTAGGGTTAATCTTTTCAAGAATTTCTTTTGGCATAATCTTCCGTGCAGAAAATTTGTTGTAATCTCTAGCTAAAAAGTGACCCTTCATCAAAACTACCCAAACATTCTCCCACATCAAATCGACCATTCTCATTTCAGAATTTGCATGAGTTTTGTATTTTTGACCTGTTTCTTGAAGGTCCTTGAGAGTCATGCTATGGACCTGCTTGACATTATGAACGTAATTTTTAGCCTTACCACCGATTCTTTTCGTGTTTGGGACATGAGCAAGATCAACTGGTGCTTACTGAATTAAGCCATAGACAATATAGAAAAGACACATTTCGGTGCTACGATTAATGGAACTGTTGTTGGCAAATTCCGCGATACATAACTTCAGATTGTCACTTAGTAAACAATGCAAAAGATCTCCCAATGAGCGACTTGCAACTTCAGTTTGCCCATCTATTTGAGGATGATAGGCGCTATTGAAATTCAATTTAGTGTTAACTAATTTTCACAGGCTCCTCAAAAAATGACTATAAACTTGGTGTCCTAATCAGAAAAATTGAGTTGGGGAACCCATGAAGTCGATACACATCACGAAAGAATAGCTCAACAACTTTCGAAGCATCTATTGTCTTCTTGCAGACAATAAAGTGAGCCATTTTGGAAAATCAATCAATCTCAACAAAAATTGAGTCTATACCACGCTGAGTGCGATGCAAACTCAAAACAAATTTCATGCTTATATTCACCTATGGTTGTGAAGGAATAGGTAATTGCATGTACAAGCTAGGGCTCGTTTCCATGCTCTTGGAAACTTGACATATTCGACATTGTTCAACGATATACCTTTTTGAGCATGGTAGGCCCAAAATAAGAGAAGAAACAAGCTCAAAGGTCTTGTCCCTTCTAACGTGGCCCTTATTATGTAACTCTTGTATGATCTTCAGGCACTAAGCTGGATTGGCTTAGACTAGACTAAGCTAGACTAGCTTAGTGAAGCGTTTGGTGCAATGTCGGACTAAAAAACTGGACTAACAATAAATTTTATTATTATTATTATATTTTAATTTATTTTCTATTAAAAATATCAAAATGAATATATGGAAAAATAAAAGGGCATAGCCCTCTTCTTCTTCACAAATTGTAGGTGCTTCTGCAACTTGTAGAATTATCAAACTTTCAACGACTCAAATTGATAGGCAAATAGAACCAAATTTGCAGTTTAGAAGATGAACGAGCCTTGTTTAAGATTTCTTGAACATTGGTTTCACCCTCACCCTCACCGACAGCTCCACTCAATTTGTTGGATTCTTGTAAGACTACCATAAGAATTAATGTAAAAGGTACTAATTAACCAGGTAAGATCATATACCTGCAGAAATTAATGAGAACAAAACAGATCAGAATTTACATAGAACAACTTTGTACTTCATTTCATAAAGTAGGAAAAATAGCAGATAAATTGAAAACAAATGGGTAGCAATCAAAACCCAAAAATCAAAACCCAGAAACCAATCAAATCTGAGAAATCAATCAAACCCACAAATCGATCAAAAACAAAAATCTATCAAAACCTAGTAATAATTTCACGAATCTTCAAAACAAAATTGAAGAAAACTAAGAAGAGAAAGTGGCAGAGGAAGCCGTGATTTACGTGGACGCGGCGGTGGTCCTGGGATGGTCTAGCGAGCTTGTCAAGCAGGATGAGGAGTCGAGTGGGATGACGTGAGAGAAAAGAAGGGTCTTAGCAATCCGGTGGTAGTCGGGGGGGGGGGGGGTTGTCTCACTAATCAGCAACAACATAGCACCCAGCAAACCCATGTGAAAAAAAAAATTAAAAAAAAAAAAAAGCAATTGTCTTTACCTGATGGGAGAGGTTGCAGAAGAATAAGAAACTTGGAGAGGATGGAGCAGTTTTCTTCAAGGATTTGATTGGGAAAAAATTATCGGCATGTTAGAAATGGTGGGGGAGACCAAATCGGAAGTGGGTATTGGAGGCCTTGATGCGTTGTGGGCTGAAGCGTTGGGAACTGAAGCTTGCAAGGGCTTGGCATCCATGGCGGTCACGACGACGCTCGAAGGAAATCGCTGCCACGATGCCCATTTCCTCCCCACGATCTGCAAATCGAAGCAAATTCCTTTGAGATCCAAAAGAATGTAGCCCATAACTCGTAGAGGGGCGAAGCAGAGATAAGGAAGAAGATGAAAATGGATGCGGGAGCAGAGAAGAAGAAGCAGGGGCGAAGCGAAAGGGGCTAAGTGAAGATGGTCTTAGCGAGTCCCGTGGTTTGTGGAGGGTCTCGCTAAGAACTCCTAGCGAGGCCTCTAATCCACGCGAGTCCCCTTTAGTCCCATTTAACTTAGTCCCAATGCAAACCAAACATGGGACTACGCTAGTAAGTAGTCCAGTCCAGTCCAGTCCCAGCTAACGAGGCCAAACAAACGCCCCCAATATGTTCTAGTTCCTTGCTCAACATCTTCAACAATTGGAAAGAAGAAGGATCAGTTTTTAATAAATCCTTCAAAGAGTCAAACCCCAATACCTGAATTCTCATTATCCAAGTAAAAATTTCTCCAAATCAAGGCATCTGCAACCTGATTTTGCACGCCATCTTTGTGCTTCCAAGTGAATGTCAATTCTTGCAAGTATGCTACCTATTTAGCATAGATTGCTGACAATTTTCCCTGGCTGTTACACGCTTCAAAGAGTCATGATCCAAGTAAAAGAGTCAAACCACAATACCTGAATTCTCATGAATCCAAGTAAAAATTTTCTGCGACTCAAGGCATTTGCAACATGATTTTGCACACCAACTTTATGCTTCAAGGTGAATGTAAATTCTTGCGGTTATGCTGCCCATTTAGCTTGCCTTGTTGACAATTTTTCTTGGCTGTTTATATGCTTCAAAAAGTCATGATCTAAGTAAAAGAACCAATCCCCAATACCTGAACTCTCATGGATAAAATTTTTCTCTGACTCAAGGCATCTAACCTGATTTTGCACACTGGCTTTGTTTTTTAAGGTGATTGGAAATTCTTGCAAGTATGTTGCCCATTTCGCATGCCATGTTGCCTATTTAGCATGTCTTGATGACAATTTTGCCTGCGAGAACCAATCTAAGTAATCAACCCTTTTTTTGATAGAAAATCTTTTATTTATATGCTTCAAAGGGTCACGATTCAAGTAAAAGAGCTAATACCTAAATTCGCATGGATCCAAGTAAAAAATTTCTCAGACTTAAGGCATCTTCGATTCAAGGTGAGTGTAAATTCTTTCAAGTATGCTGCCCATTTAGCATGCCTTGCTAACAATTTTTCCTGGCTGTTTATATGCTGCAAAAAGTCATGATCGAAGTACATAACAAACTCTTTGTAGATCAAATAGTGCCCCTAATACTTCAAGGCATGAATAATGGCTTAGAATTCCAAGGTGCATGTGGAATAATTTGACCTTGAACTACTTAATTTTTCACTGAAATAGGCAATAAGCTTCCCTTCTTGATTTAGAATAGGCCAAATATGAATCTTGGACGTATCGCAAGATAACTAAATTTTTTTTGAGAAATTGGGTAGCATGAGCAATGGAGTTGAGCTTAACTTTTTTTGGATTTGCTCAAATGCAATTGCTACTGCTTTATTTCAAGAGAACTTTCCACCTTTCATACAATTTGTGACCAAAACCATGATGGTGTTAAAGTGCAGAATAAACCTCCTGTAAAATGAGGGAAATCCATGAGAAATTCGTAGATCATGTATGGATTGTGGCGTAGGTCATGTGATCACTACTCTAACCTTTTACTTATCCACAATAATTTCATCTTTGGATACAACATAACCAATGAACAACATATAGAATGAATGTACACTGTGAGATCCCACATTGGCAAGGTGAGGGTTGGTCCCTGGCCTTATATACACATGCTCACCTCCCATTGAAAGATGCGTTTTGGGAACTCATTGGCTCCAGATCCCATAAGAACTCTGAAGTTAAGTGAGTTTAGGCGAGAGCAGTCCTAGGATGGGTGACCCCCTGGGAAGTTCTTGTGCCAAAACCCAAGAACAAATCCCTGAGGGCGTGGCCCAAAGCGGACAATATCTTGTTATGCGAACTGGGTCCAAGATGTGACAATTTGGCATCAGAGCCAGACTCACCATTAGTTTGAGTGTACCGACGAGGACGTCGGGCTCCCAAGGGGGGTAGATTGTGAGATCCCACATCAGCAGGGTAAGGGTTGGTCCCTGGCCTTATATGTACTTGTTCACCTCCCATTGAAAGACGCGTTTTGGGAACTCACTGGCTTCGGATCCCATAAGAACTCCGAAGTTAAGTGAGTTTGGGCGCGAGCAGTCTTAGGATGAGTGAACCCCTCGGAAGTTCTTGTGCCAAAACCAAAGAACAAATCCTTAAGGGTGTGGCCTAATGCGGACAATATCTTGCTATGCGGACTGGATTAGGGATGTGACATACACTTCTTCAAATTTTCATAAAATTGCTCCTTTCGCAATGCAAGAAACACCTCTAACAAGTACTGAATGTGTAAGGCATGACTTATGATGTAGACAAGAATGTCGTCAAAGTATACCGCCACACAAGTTCCAATAGAAGGTCAAAGGACTTGAATCATAACTCTTAAGAAAGTACTTGGGGCATTAATCAGCCTGAATGGCATGGCTAACTATTCGTATAAGCCTTTCCAATTTTCAAATTTTTTTTTTTCTTTTTTTCCATTCATCGCCTTCTCTAATGAAAATTTGATGATACCCACTTTCAAATCAATTTGACTAAACATGATGACATTAGACAGTTGGTCATACCGCCACACAAGTTCCAATAGAAGGTCAAAGGACTTGAATCATAACTCTTAAGAAAGTACTTGGGGCATTAATCAGCCTGAATGGCATGGCTAACTATTCGTATAAGCCTTTCCAATTTTCAAATTTTTTTTTTTCTTTTTTTCCATTCATCGCCTTCTCTAATGAAAATTTGATGATACCCACTTTCAAATCAATTTGACTAAACATGATGACAT